TTGTCGACCCTAACATAGAAGGCACAATTCTTGACAGATTTGGATGAATCTCGGTGTGAGTGTTATGTATCAACCAAGGATAAACCCTATCGAAAATAATATTATACAGTTTTGGCCCAAAAAGTTCAAAAGAAGTGTAAGACTGAAGGTTGAATATTTCATACTGTGTTTGTTACTGTACTGCCAAATTTTATTTAAAATCAAAGCTGCCAGTGGGCGTATATTACCTTGCCTGGCAAGCTATCTTCATGCTCAGGATGTGATACAATATTGATACAAGTAGTATTAAGTCTAAGCGACTCTGTCTATGAAGTTGTGGATGATTTAGTCTAAATGCCAAACAAAACAATATTAATTGAAAATAACAAGTACTTAACGAAAAAGTACACACCAAATCGCGCGAATTCGGCCTTAAAATTTAAAAAAATTACAGCTTCTACGGGGGACATCCCTCGTCAGACACCTCCCTGTCCATGTGGAGATGGTGCCGCTGGAGCAGCACATGGATAGTCTTAGATGCAACCAAAACCATTTCAATTCACTGCCCTTCTTCACTATTCTACAGAAGGCACTGGCACAGGATTAAAGTTATATTTCACAAGGACCTGATAACACTGGTGATAAAACAGGACGTCGTTTTTTTTACAGTATCGTGTATTTTGAAAGAAGCTTGCTGTGGATAAATAAAATAAACTACAAAATCAAAAAAACAATTTGTTTCTAAAATATGAAAGAAAAACGATATTAAAATAATCCTTTAGCGACATTTAGGGGTAGAGATCACATTTAATAACAGAACACAATTTTATGGTATACTACTCTTCAGGTGAAGATGACAATGTAGGAGATGTAGTATACCATATAAACTGATGATGACAATGTAGGAGATGTAGTATACCATATAAACTGATGATGACAATGTAGGAGATGTAGTATACCATATAAACTGATGATGACAATGTAGGAGATGTAGTATACCATATAAACTGATGATGACAATGTAGGAGGAGTAGTATACCATATAAACTGATGATGACAATGTAGGAGATGTAGTATACCATATAAACTGATGATGACAATGTAGGAGATGTAGTATACCATATAAACTGATGATGACAATGTAGGAGATGTAGTATACTATATAAACTGATGATGACAATGTAGGAGATGTAGTATACCATATAAACTGATGATGACAATGTAGGAGATGTAGTATACCATATAAACTGAAGATGACAATGTAAATTGTTGAAACGTAGTGTGTATTAAAACTAAGGAGTGGTATACTATATAAACTGATGATGACAATGTAGGAGATGTAGTATACTATATAAACTGATGATGACAATGTAGGAGATGTAGTATACCATATAAACTGATGATGACAATGTAGGAGGAGTAGTATACCATATAAACTGATGATGACAATGTAAATTGTTGAAACGTAGTGTGTATTAAAACTCAGGAGTAGTATACCATATAAACTGATGATGACAATGTAAATTGTTGAAACGTAGTGTGTATTAAAACTCAGGAGTAGTATACCATATAAACTGATGATGACAATGTAAATTGTTGAAACGTAGTGTGTAATAAAACTAATCTGTAGTATACTATATAAACTGATGATGACAATGTAGATTGTTGAAACGTAGTGTGTAATAAAACTAAGGAGTACTATACTATATAAACTGATAATGACAATGTACATTGTTGAAACGTAGTGTGTAATAAAACTAAGGAGTAGTATACTATATAACTGATGATGACAATGTAGATTGTTGAAACGTAGTGTGTAATAAAACTAAGGAGTAGTATACTATATAAACTGATAATGACAATGTACATTGTTGAAACGTAGTGTGTAATAAAACTAAGGAGTAGTATACTATATAACTGATGATGACAATGTAGATTGTTGAAACGTAGTGTGTAATAAAACTAAGGAGTAGTATACTATATAAACTGATGATGACAATGTAGGAGATGTAGTATACCATATAAACTGATTATGACAATGTAAATTGTTCAAACGTAGTGTGTAATAAAACTAAGGAGTAGTATACCATATAAACTGATGATGACAATGTAGGAGATGTAGTATACCATATAAACTGATTATGACAATGTAAATTGTTCAAACGTAGTGTGTAATAAAACTAAGGAGTAGTATACCATATAAACTGATGATGACAATGTAGATTGTTGAAATGTAGTGTGTAATAAAACTAAGGAGTAGTATACCATATAAACTGATGATGACAATGTAGATTGTTGAAACGTAGTGTGTAATAAAACTAAGGAGTAGTATACCATATAAACTGATGATGACAATGTAGGAGATGTAGTATACCATATAAACTGATGATGACAATGTAAATTGTTGAAACGTAGTGTGTAATAAAACTAAGGAGTAGTATACTATATAAACTGATGATGACAATGTAGGAGATGTAGTATACTATATAAACTGATGATGACAATGTAAATTGTTGAAACGTAGTGTGTAATAAAACTAAGGAGTACTATACTATATAAACTGATGATGACAATGTAGATTGTTGAAACGTAGTGTGTAATAAAACTAAGGAGTACTATACTATATAAACTGATGATGACAATGTAAATTGTTGAAACGTAGTGTGTAATAAAACTAAGGAGTAGTATACTATATAAACTGATGATGACAATGTAGATTGTTGAAACGTAGTGTGTAATAAAACTAAGGAGTAGTATACTATATAAACTGATAATGACAATGTACATTGTTGAAACGTAGTGTGTAATAAAACTAAGGAGTAGTATACTATATAACTGATGATGACAATGTAGATTGTTGAAACGTAGTGTGTAATAAAACTAAGGAGTAGTATACTATATAAACTGATGATGACAATGTAGGAGATGTAGTATACCATATAAACTGATTATGACAATGTAAATTGTTCAAACGTAGTGTGTAATAAAACTAAGGAGTAGTATACCATATAAACTGATGATGACAATGTAGATTGTTGAAACGTAGTGTGTAATAAAACTAAGGAGTACTATACTATATAAACTGATGATGACAATGTAGATTGTTGAAACGTAGTGTGTAATAAAACTAAGGAGTACTATACTATATAAACTGATGATGACAATGTAAATTGTTGAAACGTAGTGTGTAATAAAACTAAGGAGTAGTATACTATATAAACTGATGATGACAATGTAAATTGTTGAAACGTAGTGTGTAATAAAACTAAGGAGTAGTATACTATATAAACTGATGATGACAATGTAGATTGTTGAAACGTAGTGTGTAATAAAACTAAGGAGTACTATACTATATAAACTGATGATGACAATGTAAATTGTAAACTGATGATGACAATGTAGATTGTTGAAACGTAGTGTGTAATAAAACTAAGGAGTACTATACTATATAAACTGAAGATGACAATGTAAATTGTAGAAACGTTGTGTACAATAAAAGTCAGGAGTAGTATACTATATAAACTGATGATGACAATGTAGGAGATGTAGTATACCATATAAACTGATTATGACAATGTAGATTGTTGAAACGTAGTGTGTAATAAAACTAAGGAGTAGTATACTATATAAACTGATGATGACAATGTAGGAGATGTAGTATACCATATAAACTGATGATGACAATGTAAATTGTTGAAACGTAGTGTGTAATAAAACTAAGGAGTACTATACTATATAAACTGATGATGACAATGTAGATTGTTGAAACGTAGTGTGTAATAAAACTAAGGAGTACTATACTATATAAACTGATGATGACAATGTAAATTGTTGAAACGTAGTGTGTAATAAAACTAAGGAGTAGTATACTATATAAACTGATGATGACAATGTAAATTGTTGAAACGTAGTGTGTAATAAAACTAAGGAGTAGTATACTATATAAACTGATGATGACAATGTAGATTGTTGAAATGTAGTGTGTAATAAAACTAAGGAGTAGTATACTATATAAACTGATGATGACAATGTAGATTGTTGAAACGTAGTGTGTAATAAAACTAAGGAGTAGTAGCCTTTACTACAAAATTCTGTTCTGTTATTTAAAAGATATTAAAATAAGAACATTCTATTAATTATGTGGAATTTCCTCATCATCGATGAAATCAAGTTGGCCACGGACAAGTAGATTTTTGTTTTTAGGATAAGCTATAACTATAGAGCGATTAAGATAAAACAGAACTTGAAACATGTTGTTACTACATGTTTCATGTTCAGCCTTTCACGTGGTGCAGAAAAGTAGGACGTAAAACTCCATTAATTTCATTTTATTTTCATGTTCTGCTATAATATTTTTATTCATAAATCAAACCGAATTATGTTCACTATTTTTAACACAGATTTTCAATTGGAGTTATATATATTAATAATAGATCAAACAATAAATTTGGGCTACAGACGTACAGTGAATCCAGACGGTCGAAAAGTAGATCAAATGTCCTTCGTAAATATTGAGAGAAAGGCTGTTTTAATAATTTGGTATTCACCCCCAAACATCACCGCCATAATTTATAAAATAAACAGTCTAAAGTTTCAAGATGTACCTCAACAAGTCGTGATAGAGCATGATTCGACTAGGTCTACTTTCAATTTATCGTATCTGAGACATATCTTTCAGCAAGATAAAACGCCAAGTTTACAGCCCTAATTTAATAGTTCAGGTCGTAAATGTTTTAATTCTTTATTAAAATGTTCCTTAAATTAGCTGTCACAAGTTCCAGTGTGTTTTATTTTGGTGATTAACGAAGCGTGTAAAGGTGTGAAAAAAGTTCGGGAAAGTTAACGGTACCAATGTTATTGTTTTATTTGATTGGTTGATTATTACCTGTCAATCATAGAAAGACAACAACAAGGCGTGGCCTAACGTCACGTTATCTCATTTGCATATTCGTACAATTTGCGACGTCATTTGGCAGAAACAGTTTTGGAGGATGACTCGTGGGATTCCTGACAGGGTGGCGATGGATTCCAGTTCAGAAAAATCGATGGTCCAGGGTGTCGCTGGAGCCCCCAATGAAACAGCTCTTCTGGGATTAATGGAAAGAACTGGATACAGCATGATTCAAGAAAATGGCCAGAGAAAGTACGGTGGTCCGCCTCCAGACTGGGAAGGTGGTCAACCTCAGCGAGGATCGGAGATTTTCATCGGTAAAATTCCCCGTGATTGTTTTGAAGATGAGTTGGTGCCAGTTTTCGAAAGGATCGGAAAAGTTTATGAGTTTCGATTGATGATGGATTTTAGTGGATCTAACCGGGGATATGCTTTCTGTATGTACACGAATAGGAACGACGCCCAACGCGCTATCAAGGAGCTCAATAATTTCGAGATTAGAAAAGGACGTCTGCTCGGAGTTTGTGCCAGTGTTGATAATTGTAGGCTTTTTGTCGGTGGAATTCCGAAGAATAAGCAACGAGATGAAATTAAGGAAGAAATGCAAAAGGTTACAGAGGGAGTAGTCAAAGTGATCGTCTATCCCAGTGTCATGGATAAAACCAAGAATCGTGGATTTGCTTTCGTTGAATACAGTTCTCACAGGGACGCTGCCATGGCCCGTCGGAAATTAATTCCAGGTCGGATCCAACTATGGGGACATCAAATAGCTGTAGATTGGGCAGAGCCTGAACAAGATGTCGACGAGGATGTCATGTCTAATGTATGTCCACCTAATTATCTTTATCATCTAATAAGTTTTTGACCCATGTTCTGCTTGGCCTTGACGTATTATTTTAAATCATATTCCTTCTCAATGTTATTTTCTAAAAGAGGAATTGAATTAGGAAAAAAAATCGTTTCTGAGGTTTATTAAACTTAATAAAAAGTGCCTTGAAAGGTCGTTAAAACATATACCCATGAGATTTAACTTGTCAATATTTTGACCCATATTCAACCCGTCAACGCTTCATGAAATATGAAGGACAGAAGAGCAATATGGCCCACTTCTGCGCAGGAAATCTGCAACATAATCCTACAATTTGGTGATCTTCAAAGGAATACCGACCGAATGTAATGAATGAAATTCTAAAACAGCTGATTATGTAGGTCAATTGACTGATTTGATTAGCAGATTAGTTCATCTCTGAAATTGAATGCCTAACTCGAATTTATGATTCAATAGGTCTATATCATGTGAAAATATTTTATTTTTGTTAAAAACTTTGACCTGTGTGCTTTATTTTGCAGGTGCGTGTATTGTATGTACGAAATTTAATGCTAGACACTTCTGAAGAAACTGTTAGAGATATATTTGAAAGAGCGTCTGATTCTACTGGATCCATTGAAAGAGTGAAGAAAATTAAAGACTATTGTTTCGTCCATTTTAGAACCAGAGAGCATGCAGCTGAGGCTATGTCCAATTTAAATGGTAGGTGAAAATGTAGTAATTGATAGCCATCAATCAGGTCGCTTGTGAAGCATGTGCATTCTTGGAATGTTTGTCGTTTATATTACATCAATTCTGAGAACTGTCTGGGGAGCCGCAGTGGTTCAGTGATTTTTTTTCTCCTGGTTTCTCCCTGTCAGTGATGCAGGTAAGAGGGACTGACATGGAAAAAGTGTCTAGTCATCCTGATCGCACGATAAACCGAGGCTCCGTGTGCTACAGACTGTGCACGTTAAATATCCCTCGATAGTTTGATATCGAAAAGAGAAGGCTAATGTGGCTGTCCTGGCAAAATTTCCATCATTGCACCCTGCATGGCGTTGCCCCTCTTCATTAGCCCACATGGTGCAGAAAAGTAGGACGTAAAACTCCATTCATTTCATTGCTGAGACCAACTTAGCTAATCAGTAATAGTGTTCACAGCTCATCGTCGAAGTTTGAGCCTTCAAATTCATGTGTGTCCAGAATTATCTCTGTTTGAAAGTTAAAAGATATACCAGTACAGAAATAGTGGGTAAAATTCTTAGTTTGGGATATTTTTAAAGGAATTATGTGATTTTTGTACCATAACTGGTACTTCTGAAGACTTCTTTTCAAGACCCAAATCAACCCTCCAAATTGGCGCATATGTCCCTTTGAAGTTGAATGCCAAATTTCAATAATTTGGTGATTATCTAAGTAATATTTTGAACTAGCAAACTAGAAGTTAAAATTGAGATAATGAAGGGTAGGGAGTAGGAAACTGACCTTTGTACCTGACTTATAGTGATAAGGGCTTGAGATATAAAAATCTACTGTTGACATAGTATGAAATATACACAGGTCACTTTTAATCTTGTTGATAAACTCATACAAACATGCTAAATGAGCATGATATATTACTAAGCAGGTAAAATAGGTCACAGAAATCCCTCATCTCAATACTCTCCTAGCAGTTTGGTTGCCAAGTTGAATTGTTTTCATCCCCATCGAGAAAATTTTCTGATGCCTTGGTGTGAATTTTGTGTTGTTCAAATGATAAACTTTTATGGATTCTGAACGTTTCTAAGCAGTTTGGTCCTTTTAGATAATTTTAAATATAAAATTGAAGCACTGAAAGGGGCATTCTGCTTTTTTCATTCGATGTTTGTAGTTTTGAGTGTGAAATACATCAAACTGCATGACGACATATAGTAATGGTGCCCCTTTCCTTTCGTAAAAGTTTTAACTTAAAATATCAGAGCGTTAAGTCACAAACAGCTACAAAAGTCTAAACTCTAAGTGAATCCCCAGGCCCCAGGGCTCCATTTTAACTGACTAGCCGATTAATTGATGACTTTTCATTCATTCAAATATTTTTCTCCTCAATTTTGCTGCTTTAACTTGAATATTTTACAGTGTACTATTATGGTACTCTCTCACTCCACTCCACAGAAGGATGTCATATCAAAATAGTTTTCATTCATGGATTAACAGGTACCCCCATAGATAAATCTCATATAGAAGTAGTATTCATTCAATCATTTATTTACAGGTACCACCATAGAAGGATCTCATATAGAAGTAGTATGGGCCAAACCCCCAGACAAGACAGATCCTAGAAGGATAATGAAGGGGCTCCAGCAGGTGAGTTAATTTCATTCAGATATTCTCTGCATTTCTTTCCGAAAGCCTTTTCTTTATTTTTCCTTGGGTTTCCTTTGATTCAATATGCTTTCATACTTTACCACTAGGCTAAGATCCACCCGGCTTTACCACTAGGCTTATATCCTCTCAGCTTTACCACTAGGCTAAGATCCACCCGGCTTTACCACAAGGCTTATATCCACCCAGCTTAACCACAAGGCTTACATCCACCCAGCTTTACCACTAGGCTTATATCCACCCAGCTTTACCACTAGGCTTATGTCCACCCAGCTTTACCACAAGGCTTAAATCCACCAAGCTTCACCACTAGGCTTATATCCACCCAGCTTTACCACTAGGCTTCTGTCCACCCAGCTTTACCACAAGGCTTATGTCCACCCAGCTTTACCACTAGGCTTATGTCCACACAGCTTTACCACAAGGCTTATATCCACCCAGCTTTACCACTAGGCTTATGTCCACCCAGCTTTACCACAAGGCTTATATCCACCCAGCTTTACCACTAGGCTTATATCCACCCAGCTTTACCACTAGGCTTATATCCATCCAGCTTTACAACTAGGCTTATATCCACCCAGCTTTACCACTAGTCTAATATCCACCCAGCTTTACAACTAGGTTTATATCCACCCAGCTTTACCACTAGGCTTATATCCACCCAGCTCTACCACTAGGCTTATATCCACTCAGCTTTACCACTAAGCTTATATCCACCCAGCTTTACCACTAGGCTTATATCTACCATGCATTACCACTTGGCTTATATCCACTCAGCTTTACCACTAAGCTTATATCCACCCAGCTTTACCACTAGGTTTATATCTACCCAGCTTTACCACTTGACTTATATCCACTCAGCTTTACCACTAAGTTTATATCCACCCAGCTTTACCACTAGGTTTATATCCACCCAGCTTTACCACTAGGCTTATATCCACTCAGCTTTACCACTAAGCTTATATCCACCCAGCTTTACCACTAGGTTTATATCCACCCAGCTTTACCACTAGGTTTATATCTACCCAGCTTTACCACTTGGCTTATATCCACCACTTTTTATTTTGTAGGATGAAGAACCAGAATTAGACAATGCCTTATCCAATTTATCAATTTCCCAAGAAGTATATATTATATTATATTCTGATTAGCATGCTGCATGTTGTTTTTAATTTCAATTATTAGTGGAGGGGGGGAGGGGGCTGTTACCAAAGTATGTGTATTTGTGAGTGCATTGAGTGCAAGTTTTGGCCTGTCAAATTAATTAGCCTTGGTAGTTAATATAACATACTGGCTATTTATTTTGTGCCGTGACGTGTTGTCTTGTGCCGCTAACATCAATATGGATAAGATGGAAAGCAATGAGTGCTAGTTTTTTTTTTCTTGGAGCATCATGAGGTTATTTTGATTGTAAAAATGCAATGGGGTGACTACTAGAGTTAGGTAGGGATGGCCATTGTTTAATGCTTGTTTTTCATACCTTAACAATGTTAATAACCACGACATTGATATAATATATGGGTACAAAAAACATTTCATTCTGTTCTTCTAAAAGTTGATGTTATCGATAGCTGCTAAAAAAATTAAAGGGACAGGTACATGCCACTGTTTTGACGAATCAAACCTTAGTCTCAGAATCAGGGATATTTTAGCTATGCTTATCAGTAATAGTGTCCATAGATCACCATCGAAATTTGAGTCTTCAAATCCATGTGTATCCAAAATTATATTTAGAAGAAACATGTATTTAATATAGAAATAGTAAATTATAGTATTTCTGAAGACTATTTACGGTACATTCAAGACCCAAAACAACCTCCAAAAATGGCAAACCTGTTCCTTTAATTGATCTAAACTCTCATAATATTGATCTGAACACTCCTAATATTGACCTCTATTTTCAGGTTGGTTATGGTGGATATGATGCAGCTTTTGCACCACCCTTTATATATGGGCCAGTTCCAACTGGAAGGTAAGATGTCTGACTATTATTTTCTTACAGCAATGAAACTTGATGTTATTTCTTTAATGGAACAGTCTAATTACCTAAATTGAGACCAAACTTTTAATTAGCCTTTATTGTTAATATAGTCACCTTCAGTTAGAGTCTAAGGAAGGCCTTCTTGAACGTTCGTCTGTTTGATGACTGGGATTTTGTGACCTGAACAAAAGCTGTACTGGTATTCTGAGAAACATAGACTCTAACTGAAGTGGCTATATTACAAATAAAAGCTAATAAAAAATAAGGAACAAAACTTTGGTTTAATTTCAATTAGATTCTTAATTAGTATTAAAATTAATTAAACTGTTAATGGAAACTCAGGAAAATCAATCAGTAATATTGAACAGTAGAATAATGTTTTGTTCTGTTTTTCTGGGAATACTTGATTTGACTTGATAATTTCACAATTTTTTAAGTAAATTGGCTGTAATTTTTTCAGGGGCTATGAGAGAGGGACATTAATCCCAGCACCAGCTATGAGAGGGAGAGGACGAGGGGCAGCAGGATCCCGTGGGGCAGGAGGTACTAGGGGGTACATGCCCTCTAATATTAGACCAGGCTATAGAAGATACCCTGTGGAGGTCAGTTTTTAAATTTAATTTTTCTACGAGTGGAATTGTAACAAAATAAACTGAAAGAAAAACCGTACACAAAACAAGTTGTTTTTAAAGGGACAGATTCACCATTCATTTGACCAATCATACTTTAGTCTCAGAAAGAGGAATATTTTAGCTAATGCAAGCAGTAATAGTGTTCATAGCTCACCATCGAAATTTGAGCCTTCAAATCCATGTGTGTAGAATTTTCTCGAGACAGTGCCATATATAGAAAACACATTTATAGAAGTAAATAGATAATAAAATTCCTAGTTTGAAGTATTTTTGCAGGAATTATGTGATCTGCATACATTTCTAATTTTTCTGACGACTGTTAGCATGTGCTCAAGACTAAAATCAATCTCTGAAAATGGCGAACCTGTCCCATTAAGATTACGATTCTGTCCAACTGGTATAATTAGTAATACGAATGATATAGTTGTATTTAATTCTATAACAACTAGAGATCAGAGCTCTGTTGAGCACAAAGTTTGAGGTGTGAAAATATGCACGTTATTTTAGATTATATGTATGTCACCCCACAATATCAAGCTATTATGAAGGAAATGAAGATAGTTATAGATTGACATTGTGAAGATACATTCAACATCATTATTGTCAAATCGTTGGCTTTATATTATGAAGTTCATAACAAGAACCACATTGACAAAACAACTCAAAGATATCAGGAAGCTTAGGTCAAATATTAATTACAATACCATACTCGTTATTGCATGATGCAGCATAGATACAATATATTATATATTACATTAATTTGTTGCTATGGTTAACGCTTATTTATCCTGAATAATTCGACATGAAAAAGAAAAAAATAACTATATTTTACAAAGATAACAACTTCGATTCTCAAGGATTAAGTGGTCATTGACCAAACCTCTTGACATTGATATTCCCAGATTATCCAATATCCATTCCCATTTTTAGCTGAAAATAATGAGGACAGATGAATTTGTTTATAAAAACCAGATATTAATGTTGTATTTGTAGCCACTTGAAAGTGGGAAATTTCCTACTGAAGTTGTAATTAAGTCTGGGTAAATTAATCGGAATAATCAATTATTGTGGCTGCGAATCTGTAATTTCATAATCGATTATATTGCAAAGTTACATTTTCTCCCCTGTACCCGGAGAGTACCGCAGGTATGGTAATAATCTCTTCCACATAGGTTCCCTTCAGCACATAACTTACTCACAACGAGCCATAGAAACTGATCAAAGCAAGAATATTCTTCTATGATGTAAAAGTAACCCATGAAATAAATTTGGCATGTTTTTATTGAATATTCACAGGGTTTCTCAATGAAATTATTTCGATTATTAATCGAATATTGATGGGTATTTTGATAATCGATCTCAATTTGGTAATCAATACCTAGCCCTGGTTGTAACCACCACTTGATTCAATTCAGAAAACATTTGAAAAATTAGTACTGGAACAGATGTATGCGCTCTAAATTTACTTTATTTGCCTAATAATTATGACCAACATTGATACTCACAACTTGTCATATGTGGTGAACTCGAGATAATTTCAGCTACCCAGAGTTCTCCAGTAGAAAACACGACTTCCGAGTACAACTTGAATTTGTAGTAATGAATGCTATTTTCTATCTCGGAAGTAGTATTTTTCTATATTTCTCAGAGGTAACAAATACAGCATTGATATCACATGGCATGATATAAAGAATCACAAGAGATATATAGATATACTATTTCTGATATTTATCAACTCAACGTTTCACATGCTCATACAGTTAGTGTTATCAATTATTTATCTTAATAACACTACCTGTATGAACATGTGAATATGTTGAGTTAATATATATCAGAAATAGTATATCTATATATCTTGTGCTTCTTTACTTATATGTCTTACAAACAGTATGGCATGATTTATTGACTAAAATGCTTACACAGTGAATACCGTGTCCTCAACCTAGTGCATGTTAATCTTATTATACCATTATGATTCATGATTTTTTGGTTTTCTGATATTTTTTTAAAATCTCCATTGTAATATGAAGGCTCGTCTCCATGAGGTTATTTTTAACCAATCAAAGCGTGTCGTGCGAAAACTGTTCTTGATAAAATAAGGAATTGTGGGATAGTAGAACCTAAAGAGCCTGTCAGATTGCTCTACTAAGGTTTCGTTTCCCACAATTCCGTATTTTATCAAGGAACAGGTTCTACATGATAGATTGGCTATAAATACTATCTTTGAGACTGGCCTTATTTCGCTTACAAAATATCAGAAAACGAGAAATATACAAAATTATAATCCAATTTTATTAAATTGAGTGCATATATCTTATATGAATACAAAATGCATGTTATAAAGTATGGAAGAAAGCTTACTAACAAACTTGTTTTATCTGAAAGGGAAGACTGTATGATATATTACCTGGAATGGAGTTAACCCCTACTAATCCAGTTACTTTAAAACCACAGTCTTTAAAATCATCAGTACAGGTATCTCATAGTGTGGCTTTAACTTCCTTCCGCTGTGCTCCAGAGCTTCTTCTCTCCTCAAATTTAGCTTGTCACCAGTTGCCTTCTTTCCTCCAAGCTTGTAATTTTTTAAAGGTATACTTCCCCTTAGAATGACCAAACAATGGAAGTTTTTAAACTTGGCCAAATTAAGTCTTTGCTCATCAGTGGTCTTACTTGGTGTCATAACTATACAACAGAATCCCTCTATAATCTAATAAATCTATAGTAATTATTCATTAAACTGAGTAATTTTGAAACATACACAGAAGTTTTTTTCAGTAATTATTTTAGTTTAATGGATATATCGTTATATAGAGAAATGAAATGAAATGAAGTTTTACATTATATTTTTCAAGTTGTATATAGAGATTCTATTCTGAAGTCCAACTAATGAATATATACTCTTGTTGACCAAATTTTAGACTTAAAATTTTATGTACTTTCTAAGAGGTAGTATTCCTTTAAATCATTCAAAATTTCTTCACTTCCAATTTTCATCATTCTTATTGGCTTTCTCTCTCTGGCACATTCTTTTGTCATTCATCAGTTGATCAGGGATTCTTAAACTTCTCATTGAAGTGAGGGTTGTGATTGGAAAATATTTTTTTAACCAAATTTAGATATTTTTTTTACTAGTATAGTATATTTTTGAAACTTTTAAAGGGATTTAAACAGGTTTTTTAAATATTTTATGTGTATCAGGGACACTGATAGCATCAATTTGCACCATTCCAATTTCCAATCAGATGTCTGTGGATCCCGAAATTCCATTGAAACTATATGTTCGATGACTTCACTAAATGCAAGATATGCTTTTATCACATACCACCCTCCGGATATTCTCTCTTGCATCTTGCGTGATAATATTTATCTACAATGGAAGGTGTGATTGTTTAATATGGGAAAGGGGTAAATTTAATAAACCTCAATAGAATCCTTTTACATAGAATTTTATTCTATTTATTCTAATGACTCTTCACAAAATCAAAATCTTACAGAAAATCTCAAGGGTTAGGCTTCAAGTCAATCTAGAATATTTAGTTTTATGCCATGCCAGATACCTGCTAAATCTTATATAACCAAGTATTCTGCTTTAAAGTCTGTGATTTTAAAAACTTACTGAAACCCCAGCTTTATTGTCTATTCTATTGTTTTAATCACTGTAAAGGTATTGTAAAGAGGTTAAAACAGTGCTGTTGCTTTATATTTTCACAAGAGGATACATTTACGTCCATAATGAATATGAAAAATCAACTTTTATCGGCTAAAATTGATAAAAGAAATGTCCTAAATACCTAAATTCAAGCTAGACATTCAGGATTTTTCACCAGACATGTATGGCAATTCAATAGTCTTACTTTTATTCTACCTCGACTTGCACTTTGTCTGCAATAGCCACCTTTCGTGCAACTTTGAATAATGTGATTTTATTGGATTCTACACCATCGGATACAGCCAATCAGACCCCCTAACAGAAATACTGCAAATATTATGGCCAACTGAACTGACTTCTGATTGGCTGTACTAGCTTACATATAATCCAACCAAATCACTGCATTTACAAACTTCTATGATAACAGAAAAAAAAAAACCTCTTTACAAAACCTTTATAGGTCAAGTATATTTAACAATGTCTTGAGTGAAAATTGACACATAAAATACAACTTGATAGTAACTTTATTATTTTATAACATTTCTTAAGTTCAAAAATATGAACCCTCTTTTGCAACCAGTATTAACTTAGTTATGAAATTAGTTTCAATCAAAATAAATGATATGATATATTTAATTTTGAGAAATAATTAAAATAATTTTATTTTTGTGAATATTATGAGATTAATTGATAATATTTTACTGGGAAAGATAATAAGGTATATAATTATGTGTATTTGTAGATTTTAGAAGATATTTGTGGTAAAAATGGTTGGGGTAGTCCCATGTATCAACTCCATTCTGCTGTACAACGAGATAATAATACAGAATCACAACTCTTCTTATTTAAGGTAAGTTTTTAATTCTTCTCAAAGATATTATTTAGCTGTAGCGGTGAATAATGCCTCTGTACATTTTCAAAGATCATAGCCATGAATTTTCCCTTCTTCATTTGCAAAATCAGTAGCAGAAAAAGATAAAACTGGCCAAATTCAAGTGGACGACCTGCAAACAGCCTAAAGAGTCTGACCAAGAAGACATAACAAAATCTGCCATTTATTACTGAGACAGGTTCAACTTTACAGAAACTGTCGAGGATTACTGAATGGGCAACTTGGTGTTCTACTGACTAAATGGCAGGAACCTTTATAGTTGGAAATGCTAGACACTAGCCTAGTGTTTCACTTGACAATGTCTGTCATTTCCATTAGCCCAATAAGAAGCAGAGCAGTAATATGTAAAAACCATTTTAATTATATTTTCAGGTGACCATTCCAGCATTAGCTAGTACCAACCCTACCCCCTATCAACCTAATAAACTCTGTCGTACTGTAGAGGAAGCTAAACTCTACGCTGCGGAATTTGTCCTCACTAGTCTTGGAATCCCATTTGAAGGTAATGATCTTTGATTTTATATACAGGAAGGGTTGTATCTAGAAAATGCCTGAGGGTGGGGCTAAAATTAGAGATGCCCCTCCGAACCCAACAGATTTCAGATGGCTTTAGATGAATTTTGAGCATTTAGAGGGCTCAATTTTCACTAAGAAAAGAAACGTTTCACAGGTCTTCCTAAATACGCTACTCAAACATAGTGCTTTCTCCCTTTTCTCTGATTTCATGTAGTTAGTAGAATTCTTTGAGAATCTTTCTGTAAACTATTGAAATATAATAATAAAATAATTTATCTGTTAAAATATTACTCAAAACATCAATAGAGATATAGAAATATTAAAACAGAACAGGCGTACACTCTCAAAACCTTGTCATAAGATCAGAACGAAAAAAACCACGCATCTGTCATTGGTATTATAGTATATTACAGAAAAGTGGCCTTATTCTGGAAAACTTAGATTAAAATGATTTTAATTATCAAGTCATCTGATTGGTCAAATCACTAAAATTGATTTTAAATTTTGATGTTTTATCCAATCAGATTACTGTATTTCTTAAAATCTGGATTTTTAGCTTATTTAAGTTTTGTCGAATAAGGCCCCAGTTTGAGATGTTACTTCCTATAGGAAGACTGAATTAAAATACTTCTTCTGATTCAATATCAAAACAATGACAACAAAATCCATTTTCATAAAGCTGTTTGCTGTTTTCCTCTATAGAATGCTAGTTGTAGTCACTGTATGCTATCTTTCTCTCCTCTATAGGTACCACAGCTGCTGAGCTTACCCTGTCTAATTTCCCTGGTCCCCTTGGACCACCTTTTCCGACCGGTCGTGATTTAACTTTCGCTGTGCCTCCACCTATTACCAGTGCTTCTTATGTTGTTTCTCCTGGTAAACTCTTACAAAGTAAGCTTTATTGCTTTTTCTTTTCTGATCTCATTCAAATACCGGGCTCTGTTTCTCAAGATATATTGCGATCAATTTTGTCAGAAGTACCTGTACGTGTTTTGCAAAGTAAAATTGCTGATTTATTTCAAATTTATATTATTGAGGAGAGTTTGAGAAACGGAGCCCAGATCTTTTGTTTTTGTTTTTTTTTTTCATATCTCTCATATTAAAGACTAAGTCAAGTGTTTTTCTAAATATTTTATGTGTATCAGGGACACTGGTAGCAACAATATGCTCCATTCCAATTTTCAATCAGACGTCTTTGGTTCCTGTCATTCCACAAAAAGATAAGCGTTTGATTACACCACTAATCGTAAAGATTAATTTAGCACATAAGGCCCTTTGCGATTAGTGACGTCATCAAAGGCTTATATTTAGTGGAATTGCAGGAACCACAGACGTCTGACTGAAAATTGAAATGGTTCAAATTGATGCTATCAGTGTCCCCGATACACATAAAACCCCTTTAACATGTTTTTTTTTTACCTTTGTATTTTGTTAGATCTTAGTGTATCACTTTTGGCTATAAGCTTATTTCATAACTGATAAGGTATCTCACAAATTCTCTGTTTCTTTATTTTAGCTGGAGAGTTTCCTGGAACATTTGAATATCCCCCAGGGTTTACTGGGCATGCTCCCTCTGGAACTCCTGTCTATCATAATTATTAGACTTGGGGTGTGGTGACGGTTGACGCCAATGATTGTTTTCAAAGATACAGATGTTGTTTCAAAGTGCCAGAATTGGTACCGGTATAAATGTTACGGTAACAGATTTGAAATCTACATTTACAAGGTAGCAGGTTTCTACTTCAGTATTTTTAAATTTATAGTATTAGTTAAATTGCCCAAATAAGGTGATATTTTTACCCTTAAAATGAGAGTATATTATTGTCTGTTAACCCTTTCATTGTTATATGTAAGCTCTTAATGGCTTATTTATTTGTTGAATTTTTGTATTGGTTGAAGCAGGCAAATTGTCATATTAGGGGTTAATTCTGACTATGTTAACATGTTCTCTGTGACCTATTTATTTAAGGACTTATTAAAAGGGTTATATTGTTATTTATTTAACTTATTCAAGATTTAAAGAGATTGTAAAGGGATTTTATAAAATTTTATGTGTATCGGGGAGACTGATAGTATGAATTTTCATCATTTCAATTTTCAATCAGATGTCTGTGGTTCTTGCAGTTCCACTAAAACTAAGTGTTTGATGTCACAAAATTATGCTTTATCACTTAAGGCCTTCGCAATTAGTGACCTCTTCAAACACTTAGTTTTAGTGGAATTGAAGGAACAAAAGACGTCTGATTGAAAATTAGAATGATGTAAATTGATGCTATCTGTGTCCCTGTCCTAGAAAAATTTAAGAAAACCTCATTAAAATCCCTTTAATTGTTCAGTAGGGAGTCACAAGGTTTATTTTTTCTCTTTATTTTAAAATCTGAGCATGTTCTAACAAATGAAGTTGTTTTTAGTAAAAGATTAATTATGTTTGTCCGTTTTTTGTCCTCAATTTTAAGTTGTGGTTATTGAATTCTTCTGAAATTAATTTTTGACTTAAAAAGGTAGAAAACTTGCATTTTAAAATGAATTTGAGGTGTCAACTATTGAAACATTTCTATAATATAAAACAGTTTACTGTATCTGAAAATAGAAAAATGTGAAGTTCCCAATTTCTAGTAGAATAAATTTGTTGACTAAATTTAAAAGATATATTATCCGTTAAAGGAATTGTAAAGAAATTTTCTGAAACTTTTTATGTGCATCTCTAGTTTTCAGTCAGACATCTAATGGTCTGACATCTAATGGTCTGACATCTAATGGTCTGACAATAATACTAATAAATCAAGTGTTTCACTTCATAGCTATCATTAATGCCCTTACATAGTTTATGCAGCTGTCGCTGTAGTGATATCATAAACGCTTAGCTTTAGAGGAATGGCTAGAACCACAGATGTCTGATTGAAACTTGGAATGGTGAAAATTGATGCTATCAGTGTCCCCAGCACACAAACAAGGTAGAAAATCTCTCTATAATCCCTTTAAATTAATCCTTATCTAGAATTTTCTACTACAGTCTCTATTTGTTATCAGTAAATTCAAGTCTTGTCTTGGGATAGGCTAGCTTTATGATTTATCATTAATCTATGACTTTAACCGTGGCTGTCTATATTAATATTTAGGTCATATAGCGTGAAGTTTGGACTTGCAGTATTTTACAATGAAATATTTATCAGTTTCTATTTTAAAAGAGATAATGCAATGTTTGCTCTTACTAAATTTGAATCTGATTTAAGATAACGAAAGTAAACAACTTGACCTTTCTAGAGGTCATTTGGACACGTTTTACGATCACACCATGAATTTATATAAAAAATTCATGTCTATGTAGCAAGTTTCATGATGACTGTTAATATCTTATTCGTTTTGGAACCAAATTTTATGTTGATCTTTTGACTGTCAAAATTTTTTTTTTTAGTCAAGTAAAATATGAAATCTTCTGCAAACAAAACGACATCACATGTTGCATGTAAACTTAAGTTTTTTTGAAAAATATTTTTCTATTTTTTTTAGTTAGATTTCACCTAGAAATCCTTTTATTTTATGCTTTGGTTCCTTTATAAGGAAATAGTCATTTATTTTGTTATAATATCATTTTGAAAGTATATATTTTGTTTTCCTATTTTGTTTATTTTCATATTTGCGTCATTTATTTTGATGATACCTTGTTTATTTGTTGTTTTGTAAATATTTATTTGTTTACCAACAAAACGATGTCTCGAAGTTTTACAAACTTGTACTAGTTCTCGAAGTTTTAGAAGTTTTTCGTACTTAATCAAAAATCTTAATCTGTCGAAATTGGAATTAAAAATATGAAAATTGGTGGAGAAATTTGTTAGAAATTTAAAGAATGACATAGGACATTCAAATTATCAATTTATAACAAATTCGATATAAAAATAACTCATAGTATTTGATTTTATAATAGTCTTTATCTCTTTCTGTACCTTGAAATTATTAATATTCCTAATTTTGTGTGGATTTCTTGGATCTGTCAATGTGTAACTAAATTTGATCAATATCAAATCTTTAAATTCCCTGGAAATATTAAACTAAATAATTGCCCTTGGGCATAAATATAGTTACTGCTCTAAATTCACTTGATATAGTACAGTTCAATAGATTTTGCCATAGTTCAGACAGATTTTGCCATAGTTCAGACAGATTTTGCCACAGTTCAGATAGATTTTGCCACAGTTTAGACAGATTTTGCCACGATTTTGCCACAGTGGAGACAGATTTTCACTCAAATGAAAAATTGGTAATTTGAATGTCCTCTCTGTAAAATTAAGAAAAGATTTTTTATGTACAAATGGCTATCAAATGGCTTTTATGTGTTTTCTTGGACTGACTTGTTCACAAACAAAATTCAGGTCTTAAAGTTGGATATTGACTGATGCCGAGTCTAAACTTGATTTAAACTGATGCCCTTGTTAATGCTTGTGAAAGAAAAATATTACATTGTCGAAACATTGCAAGTATAAAAATTATTTCATGATTTTTTGATGTCATGTTTGAAAGACAAAACCAAAATGGGACCTGCAAGTTCTTAGTTCTTGCTTTCTTCTATTCGGTGTGTCAATAGACCAGACTTTGATGATATTTCAGGAATAAAGAAAGATCATGTGAACATTTCAGTCTAAGACCATCTTTTGTCTTCCTTAGTGCCAAAGACATAATAAATGTCACTAAATTTATAATTAAGGGAGATTTCAAAATAATGTAACAGTAAAAAGTAATAGATATTTATGGGGGCTTTTCAGCAAGCTTTATCAGAACCTGTAATGATTTGATACTTTGATTTTCTCTTTAGATGTCTGTGGTTCCTGCAAGTCTAGAAAAAATGAACAGATTTTGATTCAACTATGGCAATTTTCAAATTTAGGTGTGTTTTTTGCAATAGGGACATTATTAACTTTTTAAGTTTTTCTGGAAATGCAGGAACTTTAAAATTGGATGGGACATCTGAATATTACAAATAGAAGATATAAAAGAATCAAAAA